CCGGGGGGCGGAGCCTCCGGAGGGGCGGGCTTCCCGGGGGCGTGGTCCGGGTTTTGAGGCGGGCCAGAGGGTCCGTGGTGGGTGGGGCCAGAACATTGAGGCGGGCTCCGGGCTGCGCGATGAACAGGGTCAGAATTTTTATGGGAGTGTCCTGACAGTCCAGTGGGTTGGGTTAGGTGGAGCCCGGCAGGTGGCTCCGAAGTGGACAGGATTCAAAGCCCGAGGAGGAGCCTGGGTCTCGAAGTGGGTGGAGCTTATTCTGGAGGATGAGCCAGGGTTCTAGGTGGGCGGAGCTGGAAGGAGGGAGGTTTTGAAGCCGCTGGGAGGTTTTTGTCCTCGTAGGGAGGTGGCAGCCCTCCTTATTTGCACCGCTCCGTTTCCCTACTTTTAGGCTTTCTCTGCTCCGAGCTCCAGGCAGCCCGCCTCCTCCGCCTGCACCCCTGGCTGGATCCCCGCCCTGCGCCGCCCGGTGGCCAAGGGACAGAGGGGGGAGCCATGGTCCAGGAACTGGTCCTTGCTCTTCAAGCCCTGGGGCTGCCCAGACCCGCGCCGGGGACCCCTGCCAGCCGGCTGCTGCGGGAGTTGCACGCCAAGGTAGAGAGCCGGAGGCCCCTCCCGACCCGGGCCCCCGCACCCGGGCTCCAGCCGCTGCTGTTTTCTAGAGCTGTGACCGCCGTTCTCGATTCCGTGGCCTGGGTCCTCGGGGCTGTGGGGGCCTGGGGTCCGTGGAGGCGTCCATCCGGTGTCTGCCCAGTCAGCCTCGGACTCCTCCTTCTCCCATCAGGTCTCGGAGCTGCTGCCCTCCCTGCCTCGGGGGTCCCTGCAGCCCCTCCTCAGCTCCCCGCTGGATGCGCCCAGATGGGTAAGACTGCGTGTGGCTGTGTGTGAACAGTGTCCTCATCCAGAGATGAGGGTGCGGGGGGCCCCTCGTGCGACTGAGGTCACTTTTCCCCAGGAGGCGTTGGAGTCCCTGGCCCAGAGCCTGCAAGAGCAGTACTGCTGCCGCCGCCGGCTCCTCCTCCGGCGTTTGGACCTCACGACGTCGGCTTTCCACTGGAGTGACCGCGCAGAGGTGTGGGCTGAGGACCTTGGGGGGTCGGCAGGGAGGCCTGGCTGTGGGGCCACAATGAGGGAGGGGAACGAGGGCCCGGAGTAGAACCTTCTGCAGGTTCTCAGGCCCGAGACATTCTAGACTCCCCAGGGCATTCTAGAATTCCCAGCTCTGAGCTGGGACTGTCTTCAGAGCTATACCCCTTCTTTAGAGATGTGGGAATTGAGGCCCTGAGTGGGGAGGAGATGCTTCCAAGATGGCAGATGCCACCCGGGAGGGCTCTCGGGCACCTTCTCCATGCCCCCCCACCCAGGTCCATGGAGAGGCCATGAAGGCAGTGCTGATCCCAATCCGAGAGGCTCTGACCCCGGAAGCGGAGGTCTCCATCGCACACGTCCTGGCTGCCCGAGCCGACCTGTCTCGTCTCGTCCCAGCCACCAGCAAGGCTGCCCGCCGAGGGACCTGCTGTGCCATCAATAAGGTGCACACCTGGGGGTGGGGAAGGGCCCCAGCATCTTTGGCCTTCAAACTGGCCTGTCAACCTTTGCCCTGGTTCAGGCTTGTCCTCTCCAGCCTGGGTTCTTGGCCTCTGGACTCACCACCTCTAATCTACCCTCTCCACATGGCAACTAGGAGATGTCTAAATCAAAAATCTGACCATGTCCCTCCCTCACTCAAAAACCTTCTATGGCTCTCCAGTGCCTTCAACACAAAGTCCAACTATTTACTAAGCCCTGCTCACCTCTCCAGCTTTGGCTTAAAATCCTCCCCCAGCACCTCACCCTGTCTATTGCATTGGGTTTTAACCATTTTTAACGGCAGAAGTACCCTCTGTTCAGTGATTCCATATTTAGCCTCATACTGCTCGGTGTAAATAGTCTTATAGTTATGTGAATGAGTCTTAGGGAATAAAGTCTAGCACAGCAGCAACTGAGGCAAAATTTAAGTTAAGAAAAACGGTTATTTGTTTTAAGGAAATATAGGGAGTAAATATTCCAGGTGATGCACGAGTGATGTATATTTAGGAAAAAACACTGGTTTGCTGGAAATAGTATACAAAGCCCCAGATATGAAATAGACCAAAGTTGAGGTGTCCCTGTTAATATTGGTGGGGACTTGGATCTCTACCATCATCCTCTCCTTTCTTTTTATTTCCTTCTTGCTGAGGCTCCTGGAAGCCAGTTTGAAAGCACCAGGCCTGTATCTTGCCCCGTGCAGCCCCCGCCCCCACCCCCTGGTTGCCACTGCAACCAGATAGTCAACATCCGCTCTTCCTTTTTCAACCTCATGCTGTTCCCTTTGCCCTCTGGCCCCCTTGTCCGAAATATTTTTCTTCTCTGAAACTCAAGTCTAATCAACTCGCAGGTGCTTATGGGCGACGTGCCAGACCGAGGGGGCCGCCCCAGTGAGCTGGAGGCTCCCATGCCCAGCTGGAAGGACAGAAGAGAGGACAGAGGTGGGCAGAAGGCAGGCCGCCAGGGCTGGGGCCACAAGAAGAAGAAGAAGAAGTAAAGGGGACCGGTGGTGGGGAGGGGTCCCCTACGAGATGCTGACGCCATCGATGACCTCTGGAGGCTCAGTCTCAGGGTTTCCCTGGGCACCTGGCACCCAGGCCCCACATCCCCTGTCCCTGGGGGGGACTGTCCCCCCCATGTCCACCACTCAACACCAAAGACCGTGTTCTCTGGAAAATAAATTTAATTTCTGACAGCCGTAGGACCCATCTCTGGGGGGCCAGGTGAGGGGTGCTCGGGTTTGAGGAGGCCTAGGGGGTCTGTGTCATAACAGGCCCCTGATGCTCTGACCCTCAGAGTCCTTTGCTCTTCGGCCACACATCCTTCCCTTCCTGTCGGCGTGGGGAAGGGGACACGCAGGCTGGGACAAACATTTATCAGGCACCCCCCATGCGCCAGCCCTGTGCTAGGCACTGGGGACACAGCAGTGAAAGAGAGAATAAGCCCCCTGCTCTCCTGGAGCTGCCATTTCCCTGGGGAGGAGGGGCGGACATTCAACAAGATAAATAGGTAAAAAGTATAGTTTGTCACATGGGGAAAGGACTTTGGAGAGAAATAAAGCAGGAAGGCAGGATTGGCACGGAGGAGGATTGCAACTGTGAGCACAGTCGCAGAGGCCTCGCTGAGAAGGTGACACTTGAGCTAAGTCCCAAAGAGGGAGCCATGTGGGCCTCTGGGGAAGAGTGTTCCAGACAGAGGGAATGGCCAGTGCAAAGGCTCTGAGGTAGGAGTATTTTTGGCATGTTCAGGGACCATCGAGGCCAGAGTAGTGGAAGCAGGATGAGTAAGGGGGCGAGTGGTGGGAGGTGAGGTCGGAGAGGTGATGGGGCAGGTCGTGTGGGGTGGGCCACAGGGAGGACTCTGGCTTTTTCCCTGAGAGATGGAGCCACTGGACGGCTCTGAGTAGGGGAGGCATGTGATCTGACTCTGGTGTCCACAGGGTCCCCGTTCATCCCTTCTCTAGCCTTCTGTCTCTGGAACCCCAGAGTTTGGAACTCGGCCCACCCTGTCCCCTCCCCCTCCTGATCCGTGCTGTCAATGTAGCGCACTTTAGAGGGAGACGAAGACCTGGGTTTGAGTCCGGCCTCCGCGGGCAGCTTAACCTCACTGGGCCTCAGTTTCCTCATCTGTAAAATGGAGATTTAAGGAGTCAGTGAGATGATGCCCAAGTCTAAATGCCCCCAGCACGGCGCCGCATAGTTCCTGAGTGCAGGAGAAGGGAGTACGGTTAATAGCCGTTCTGATGGAAAGAAGGTGACTTTTGGAGTAAGAGACCATGGTTCTCCCACGAAGGCACAGGGATGGGGAGCCGGCGATGCCCGTGGGGGTTCTGCTGGAGGCCCAGTGACAGGACTCGGGACTGACCGGGGGAGGGGAGAGAGAAGAGACCAAGGCCGTGTCTAGGAGTCCGGCTTGGAGGACTGGGCGGGTGGCGAGGCCGTCGCTGGGAGGGGGACCTGGAAGGGGGAAGACAGTGATGTGGGGGCTGTCCAGTGTCTCGGAGACGCTTCACTGCCAGGGGCAGAGCCCCCTCAGATGTTTGCTAAGGGGATGAATCAATGTCCCCTGTGGATATATATATATATTTTTTATCTGAGTATCTCTACCTTTGGATAGCGGAATATACTCCACTGATGTTTATTATAACTCCTGATATGTTGGGCTTTATTCTTGCCATCTTACTATTTTCTTTCTTTTTTTCTCCCTAAAATCCTTTTTCTGTTCTACTAGTGGCTACCCCTCCCCCCCAACATACGGAAAATTCTGTTTTTCTATCAACATTAAAACTTAACCAGTAGCTATACCCTTCTACTCAAGCATTTGAGGACTTCTGCACATTTTACTTTCCTGTGCTTCCCCAAATCTGCCTGGGTTCCCCAGGGCAAAAGGCCTGGTGCCCCCTGTACCAGGTCGGGGGGACAGTCCCTCCTCACCGGCTCTGGTTCCCGGGAAGGGTGTGGGGGCTCCGTCTGGGTCCACGCATGGCGAAGGTGGCCCCCCGTCTCTGGCTCCAGGGACAGTGTGTAGGAGAGCTTGTCCTCGGAGCCTGTTGGTGAGGTGTGGATGGGAGGGAGGTGGGGGTGACAGGAAGGGCCTCAGGGCCTTGGAATTGGTCCCCACCCACCAGGCCCCCTTCCCAGGACTGCTCCCCCCGGGTCTTACCCCAGCTGGCGTGGGGAGCTGGTGCAGGCGGGACAGGGGCGTCTGGTGGGCTGGCGTCACCCTTGGCCCCTGGCCTCTTCTTACACTCTATCTTCACCTGGTCTCGGCAGTGTTTGTGGCAACACAGCCCACAGTCTGGGCGACGGTCAGTGGTTAGTGGCCAGACGCCCAGCCCGTGCCCCCCCGGATCCCTCCCCACCACCGACGCCCCACTCACCCTGACAGCGGTAGCCGTGCTTGGTGACACCCCAGAGCTGGGAAGAGAAAGCAGAAGAGGTTACCTAGGCTGGGGGGCGTGGGCTGTGGATGGGAGCGGCTGTCTGGAAGTGTGGAAACCATCCAGGTTTGGGAAATCCTCAAGGCTAGAGGCTTAAGTGGGATCTGAGGATTAAAGGAATTTGGGGTAATCTCAAGTTTGGGGAGTCAGCTAGGATGCTGGAATTAAGGAAAATTTGGTTTTTTTGTGTGAGGAAGATCAGCCCTGAGCTAACATCCATGCCAATCCTCCTCTTTTTGCTGAGGAAGACTGGCCCTGGGCTAACATCCGTGCCCATCTTCCTCCACTTTATGTGGGACGCCACCACAGCGTAGCTTGACAAGCGGTGCCTCGGTGCATGCCCAGGATCCGAACCCGGGCCGCCAGCAGCGGAGCGCACACACTTAACTGCTGTGCCATGGGGCCAGCCCTAGAATTAGGTAAAATTTGGAATTAATAAAATGTAAATGCTATGGGCAGGGATTATGTCTGTGTTTCCTGCTGTCCCCTACCCCAACCCCGGAGCCTAGAACCGTGCCAGGCACACAGGAGGGGTTCAGTGAATACTGAGTGAATGAAAGTGTGAACTTGGGAAGTAATTCAGGGTCTGTGAATTAGTCTCGGATTGCAGATGAAGAGATTTGTCTGTTGTCCAGAGTTTGAGGACACCTTGAATTTGGAAATTATCCAGGGCTCCAATTCTCTGGAGCCTACAGACTTGGAGATTGATTCTGTTTGGAGGTAATCTACCCAGGTTTGTAGATTACCCAGGGTTTTAGATACTATCCGCGGTGTGGCGGTCACCCAGGATGGAGATGATCTGGGACTTGGGCATTATCTAGACTCCGGAATTATGCAGGATGTAGGGAGTACCCGGTGTTCTGAGTTCACGTGACGTGGGGATTGAGGTGGAGGATATTCTGGAATTTGGGGATTATCTGGGGCTTGGGCGCTGTGTGCGCTCCGGGGTGGGGCTGGCCTTCTGAGCCCGGCTGTGAGGAGCTGGGGCACCCGGGGGGACATGGGCCCTGAGGGTGGGGGGGGCAGGTGCTCACGAAGCCGCTGCAGCTGTTGCAGAAGGCGGGCTTGCGGAAGGTGACCTCGTGGAAGGTGTGCAGGAAGGCCAGGCCCAGCTTGGAGCAGATGGCGCTGGCCCGGAGCAGGTACTCCGTCAGCTCCTCTCGGCTGAAGGAGCCACTCCTGGGGGCAGAGTGGTGCCTCAGCGTGACCGGCCCCTTTCTCCCAGACCCAGGAGTCCTGGCAGCCCCAGGCTCCTCGTTTGGGGGACCAAGGAGATGGGCTCACTCACCCCTGGCAGGGGGGTGGGTGAAGCCCATGGCAGGCGAAGGGGAAGTTGCCGGAGAGGCGCTCAAAGTCCTCCTGGGAGATGGTGCCTCGGCCTTCAGAGTCGTAGTTCTTGAACACGGACTTCAGAGGAGCATGGGACGGGGAGAGTGAGGCCAAGTCCTGGTCCCCATGGCCTCAGCTCCCCTGTACAGATCTCTCCCCTCCTGGCCCCCAGCGGCCAGGCTGCAGTCCCCTCCTTACCTCCACCAGCTGCTCCACGTGCCGGCCCAGGGTGACCCTGTCGGGCTTGGCCGTCACGCCAGGGGCCCACTCCACCACCAGGGGCGCCTTAAAGGGGGAGGGGGGCTGGGGCAGGGACAGAGGGGCGCAGTCAGTCAGGGCCTAGGCCTGGGCTGGAGGGCAGAGGGCGGGGGCAGGTCTCACCAGACTTTTGGGACAGCGGGGCTCCCGGGCGTAAGAAAGCTCGTAGATCTCGTCCTCCGTGTAGAAGAGATCCAGGGAAAGCTGGGGGCGGGCCGGGCGTTACAGACCCTCCTCGTCTGCATCCTCCTCCCCACGGCCCGCGCCTGCCTGGAACCCCACTCATCCTCTTCCCGAAGCCCCTCTTCTTTGGGGACCCCGGCTCCTCTCTCCCCCTGAGCCCCATCCACTCCACAACGCCATCCCCTCGCCCGGAAATGCCATCTTCTCACTGAGGCTTTTTTGATCCTATTTAAAAATAATAGTGACAGCAAACCCCTGTCCCTTTCCCTGCCCGTTTCTGCTTTAATGTCCTCTGTAGCACTTATCATCCAGAAGACTGTATGACTAACTGATTTACTGTGTTTTATTGACTCTCTCCCCCACTAGGAAGTCAGCCCCACACGAACAGCAATCATTTTTTCTGACATGGTCACTACTGTGGACCGAAATGCCTGAAGCACACGGCAGGCGCTCAGTAAAGATCTGGGCTGATGGCCTTCCAGAATCAGCGAAGTGTAAGGCCTTGGGCACCCGTCATCTTAGGGCAGGCCCTGCAGTCAGAAGGGCCCCCACTTCGTTGAATGCCCTGCTGTCACCATCTTGACATTCTTAAGAATTTTGAATGAGGAGCCCCACATTTTCACTTTGCACTGGGCCCTGCAAATTTTGTAGCTGGTCCTGTCTTAGGGTCTGAAAATCAGCCTTAGACTACAGAGCCTTCGGAACCCCAGTCTCTCTCAATTTATAGCTCCCTAGACTATAAACATGTATAAATAATATATATATAAAATAAAATATAGCCGGAATCCCACACTCCCAGTCTTGGGACACAGCGTGGTGGTTAACGTATGTTAACACACAGGTTCTGAAGCTGGCTTGCCTGGGTTCAAATCCAGGTTTTACTGCTGTGGGACCTCAGCAGCAAGTGACCGCACCTCATGGGCCTCAGTTTCCCAATCTGTAGAATGGGCACGATAAGGGTCCCCGCCTCGTAGGGTTGTGAGGATGGAATGAAGTGCTCTATAGAGAGTGTTTATCACAGTGCCTAGCACATAGTAAGTGATCAATAACTGCTACTAGCTTTTTGCTTAGGTTCCTGGATATGTTGAAGCTTGGAATTTTGGACTAGTGACTTGAGAAGCTCAGAGCTCAGGAGTGTGAAAGCCCAAAGCAGTCCTGGAGCCCAGATCAATGGATACTCGAGTTGCTGGGGAAAAAACGCATCACTTACATAGAGCTCACTCTGTCCAGATACTATTCTAAGTACTTTCCATGAATTATATTATTGATTGATCTTCTCAACCACTCTCTGAAGCGAGTCCTATTATTATTCCCATTTGGCAGATTAGGAAACTGAGGCTGAGGGGTCAAGTGACTTGCCCAAGGCCACACAGCTAGAAACAAGAACAGACCCAGAAGCTCTGGCTTCACAGCCCGTGCAGCCCGGCGCCCTGCTCTCCCGGCCCTGCAGCCTCTGGTCTTCAGGCCCCTGGGCCTCTGCCCCCGGCCTGCCTCACCGTGAGCAGATGCAGCAGGTCCTGGCTGGCGCTGCAGGGCGGGTGCTGCCTCTGGAGGGCTGCCAGCTCCTGCAGCCGCAGGTACAGGCTGTTGAGCTTCGGCAGGTGCAGGCGGCCGTCGGGCAGCCTGTCGGGCTGGGCCTCGTGCAGGGACACCAGGTCCTTGAGGTGCACGCCCAGGAGGGGCAGCCGGAAGCCTGAGCAGCTGGCCCAGGCGCGGCGGTACCGAGCGTAGTTGTTGTGGGCGGCGAGGAGCTCAGTCAGCTCCAGCAGGGCCTGTGTGCGAGGACGTGTCGTGGAGGGGGACAGTTCTGTTCCCTCAGCCCCCCCTGAGGGGAATATCCTAGCGGCCTGTGTGGGCTCCAGACCCCCGGGGGCCCAGTGGCATTTTGGACACCCCGTGAGTCCCCCCACACCCACGCTGGCCTCAGCATCTCCCCAAACTGCCCTTCCTCTGGGTCCTCACCTCAGAAAGGCCCTGCTAGCCCCCATTCCTCAGGCTAGAGTGATTTTTCAAGAACACAAATCTGATCATGGTGCTGCCCTCATGCCCAGACCTTCCCTAGCTCCCCATTGCCCTCTGGATAAAGCCCAGGCGACTTAGTCCAGCCTGCAAGGCTCAACAGGATCTCCTGCTGGCCGTCTCCAGCCTGATTTCCTGCCACTTCCTGACCTCAGCCACACACCAGACTCACGAAGGACTCACTCTCCCCAGGACATCCCCAACCATGATCCTCCCGTGAGGGGCCCAAATGTCGGCGTCCTTGGGGGCGTCATTTCACACCCCACCTGGACTGCATGTTCTAGCATCTCTCTCACCCATCTCCGCCAGTCCTGCTCAGGACCAGGCACACAGAGTAGCGAGGGTCAGCTAGATGCGTGGATGGATGAGGAGGGAGGAAGAATGACAGAGCAGGACAGATCCTGGGGGTCTGTTGGATTTGAAGGAGCAAAGTTTCTCGACAGCCCCAGGGCCCCTGGGCAGGGACGGAGAGGGCCGGGGAAAAGTATGGTGGTTCAGGATAATTAACCATGGGAACTTTGGGGAGGGGAGCGGGGGCTCACCTTGGTGCTGTCAGGGCTCAGGTGGGCATAGGAGTCCTTGAGTCTGGAGATGGCACTGTGACACAGGCCCCCGGTGACCGCCATCAGCGTGTTGAAATTATGCAGCTGGCGGAGGCTCTAGGGAGGGCGATGCAGACATGGCGGGCGTCACATGGAGGGCAGACAAGTGGGGGTTCAGATGACAGCATCCCAGTTGAGTTGGGGAGTGGACCACAAGCAGATCTGTGGGCATTCCCCGGGGGTCAGGCAGGTGACACAACTGATGTGAGGTCAGAAGACAGTGGCGGGAGTCAGGCAAGCACGGGGAGTTGGACAGGTTTGGGGACTAACAGGTGAGAGATTCAGACAGGTGTCAGGGTGTTGAGGAGTCCGGTGAGGGGAGACAAGAAGGCCTGGGCTCTGGGCGGCAGTTAGGCCCCGGCCGAGGCGCACGGGGCCAGAGGGATATGGAGGGCTCAGACAGACGTGAGAGACAGGTGTGGGGTCAGCGGGTGGGCGCAGGGGCAACTGCTCCACCCCCCGCCTTTTTCAAGTTTGAAGGGCGGACGTCGCTGTGGGGAGAGGGTGGGGCCAGGGAGGAGTGGAAGATGCTCAGACCGAGGGGACCCCAGCCAGACGCCAGAACCCCCAGTCTGAGGGGCGGTCTGAGGGGCCGGGCAGGGGAAGCGAGGCGAGAGAAGACGCCAGAGGAAGGGCGTGGTCTGCGAGGAAGTACGCAAGGCCACGCCGGGGGAAGGAGGGCTTCCCTTTTCTCCAGAAGGGAGGGAAGGTAACTGGAAGAGAGGGGGGAAGGGAGGGGCGTGACACCGTGGGGCGGGGCCGGGGAGAGCCCCGACGTGATGGAGAGAGAGGCCCTCGCTGTCCGGCTGGGGCCTGGGGACTGGGGTGGAGGGTGATGCAAAGGGGGGCATGAAAGAGACGTTTTCACTGCCCTGGGGATAGAATATTCGGGCATAGGGCTTGGGGGACGGAGGTGGGATGTCAACAGCCACGCCTAGGACCAAGGGGTTTCACGCGGTGATATCAAAGCCAGGGAAGAAGCGCCGTCACAGTCCCGGGTTAGAACTAGGGGACTGAGGCCTCGGGGGCGGGGCCGGGGTGGTGACGTCACCGCCCGGGATGGCCAGCTGGGCCGGGGGTGAGATGACTGGGGGCGCTGGCGCTGTCAGCCCCGGGACCAGCCTCACCTGTGCCACGTGGATGAACTTGTCCAGCACCTGCGCGCGCTGGGCCGGCCCCGGGCGGCTCAGCACCATGACCTGCACCCAGCGGGACACGCTGTTGCTGAGCCCGACGGAGCCCTCCAGGGCCGGGCAGCCCCGCACGGAGCCCTGCAAAACGTAGCCCCGCAGGTCCTGGGGCTGGGGGTGAGGCGGGCGTCAGGGGGGCCGCGGCGCGCAGGCCCTGCCCCTCACGCGTCCATCCCCCAGCAGTCACGACCTCGGCTGTGCTAGCCTGGCCGTTACATGTCCCTGCCGTCACCACGGCCCTCTCCCATCTGAGGAGAAATGTTTAAATAAAGCCAGGCACTATTCTGAGCCCTTGGTTATATTAACTGATTTAATCCTCACATCGACTCTATGAAGTGAATGCTCTATTATTCCCATTTTACAGAGGAGGCCACTGAGTCACAGAGAGGATAAGGAATTGGTTCAGGGCGTGATGCTCTTAACTGTACACCTGACTGGTATCTAGCCAGCAAAGGGAAGGATGGCCAAGACGGCATGAAAGCAATTTCTATTTGTTCTGCTCAAGGGTCCAGCATCCATCCCACGTCCACTGCACTGTGTGTGTGTGTGTGTGTGTGTGTGTGAGTGTACACACAATCAGGAAATTTTCACATGAAGGAACCAGGTCCCCACCTTCCCTTGAAATGATGATGGCAATAGCTAACAATTATATATAGGTTGAAACACATGAAATTACCATTTGGGTAGGTAAAATATGGCAATTTCAAATGATTCTACCAGAGAGCATTTACTCTGGACCAGGCACTGATGCTATGAGGCAGGAACTGTTAAATCTCCCTTTTTACAGATAACGGGACTGAGGCACAGTGCATGTCAATGCTTCTCAAATAAACGAATAAGTAATAAAATATTTTGAGTACTTACTATGTGCAAGCACTATGCAAGCATTCTTAAATGGACGTATTAATTTATTTCTCCCACCCCTCCAATGAAGTATTATGACCTCCATTTTACAAATGAGAAAACAGAGAACCAGAGAGGTTGAGAAACTAGTTCAAAGTTACACAGGTAAGAAGGGGCCAATGGATTTGAACCCAGGGGCTCTGTGCTCAGTCAGCTTAACTCATTTTCTGGACCTTTGAGCACCCGAGTGGGAGAGTTTGAGATCATGCCCGGCGCCCACGAAAGGGTCCTCCCTGAGCCCTCCCCAGTTGGGGGAGGGGGTCCTCACCGTGATAGCCTGGAACGACTGGAACTCTAGGTAAGTGAGGTGCTGAGCCAGCTCCCCTGTCTCCAGGTGGTCGAATAGCAAGGACACTTTGCGCTTTTTGCCCAGGCCTGGGCTGCTCATGGGGGTTGGGGGGCCGGGGCCACCCGGGCTCAGGCTGGGGGCAAAGAGGGGCAGGGTATTGCAGGGGCTCGGGGTGGGGGGGGATGCGGGTGTGGAGGGAGGTGGCGGGGCTGACTCACAGGTTGGAATGGTCTCCCAGGCTCCTCTGGGCCGGGCTGCCTTGCTGCTCTACCATGGCCCAGAAGCGACCTATAACTTCTTCTAACTGGGGCTCCTGGTGCACCGTCTCAGGGTGCTGGGTCAGCCAGTACCTGAAGGTGGTTTAGAGACAGTGGGATGAGGCTGGGGGTGAGGCTGGGGAAGGTCTCTAAAAGGGGTGTCTTGGGCTGAGGAATCTCCAGGTGCTGGGCTGGGAGTCTCTGGAGGATCAGGGTTTGGAGAGGCACCAGGCTGGGGCCATCTCTGGGAGCAGGATGGGGCTCTCTTACAGGCTCGGGAATCAATGAGACATAGACTGGGGGGATCTCTTGGAGGTGGGACTGTAGGAAGCAGGATAGTGGGGGCGTCTCGGGAACTAAGCTGGGGGCCTCTGGGGTGAGATTTTGGGGGAACAGGGTGAGGGAGTCTTAGAAGCTAGGCTGGGGTATATGGGAGGTAAGGGTTTTGGGGATCAGAGCTGGAGGCCTCTGGGCACTAGCTAGGAGAGAGTCTATGGGATCTGGTCAGGAGTCTCCAAGAGATGAGGTTCTAAGGAGCAGAACTGGGAGGGTCTTAGGAACCAAACCAGGGGCGTCTCAGAAGTGGGATTTGGGGGAGCAGGCCTTGGTGGGTCTGTGGGGAACTGGGCTGGGGAGTTCTTGGGAGGTGTTTGGGGGCTGGGCAGCAGGGTGGGGGTCTTAGGTCATGGGAGTAGAGTTCGTGGCCCAGCCCTACCTGACCAGGTGACAGATCTGCAGCCGCCTCAGCTCCTGCGTGTTCCCTGAGGCCTCCTGGTACTTGAGTTCTGGTCAAGGCTCTGTCATCCAGCGTCCCAGACCTGCCTGCTCACCCTGTCCCCATCTCCCAGGTTCTCATGTCTCTGCCCTCTACCCCCTGCTCCCGGCCCTGGGAGGATATAAGGTCAGCAGACGGGCAGCAAGGTGCGCGGAAGGCAGCACCCAACTGTGCATGGCGAGCACCATGTTGAGAACGTGGTCCCTGCGGCACAGGCTGCCAGCTGAGTCTGGGGGCGGGAGAAGGGGACACGTCAGAACGGCCCTGGGCAGTGGGCTGCACAGTCTCTGGAGCTGGTTGGACCGCCTGGTTCAAACCCCAGCTCTACCAGTGACCCCCTGCATGAACTTGGGCGAGCAACTTAACCTCCTTGTGCCTCAGTTTCCTTGTCTGTACTGTGCATAGACCAGCACAGCTCCTGGCAAGTCATTTTGAAGATCAAAATAGCATCAGACTTCCTCCCCCTCTGCATCGCAGGAAAAAGAAATGCAGGTGTCACTCTTATCCCTAATATAGTGACTGAGATTCATTGCACACACCCTGCTCCCATTTTATACCCCGCAAAACTGAGGCCTAGAGAGAGGTGGGTGCTTGGCCCAACCTTAGAACTGGGGAGGCTGGCCAGGGAGGGGCACACTCACCGAAGGACTGAATGCATTTCTCCAGCAGCTCGTCCTCGCTGCAGCCCTCATTCAGCATGCCCAGAGCCATGGAGGCCATGACCTTGCTGATTTCCCGAGGGCTGGGGCATGTCTTGTGGCGCCGGGCCTGCCGGGGCCGGTCCCGCCCTCCTGTATTCCCTGAGCATTCCTGGTGGGACTTCCTGTGGGCACACACCCCCAGGGCATCAGGAGAGCCCCTTCCTTCGGGCAGACCCCCAGAATTTTTCTTGACCCCAAAGCCCCGGAGCATCATGGGAAAGACTTCCTGTTGGCAGACCCCTTGGATTACTCCTGATCTCCCAGGGAATCATAGGAGAAGACCCCCAGAATCATTCTTGTCCTCCCCAGAGGGAATCATGGGAGATTCTGCCTTCAGGGAGATGCCTAAGAATTCCCCTTTGCTCTCCAATGCCCGTCCCTCCTGCCCCCAGCCATCATGAGAGCAGCAGACCCCTGAGATTCCATCTCTCCCCCATCCCCCACCTTGACCCCCACTAAGGTGACAGATCCTTCCCCCAAGCCAGCACTTCCGTAGGACCTGAGTCTTAGCCGCCAGCCTGGGTCCCTAGATTTGGTGCCTGGTGAGAAGATACGGGTGCAAGTAGCCTCCCCAGGGCTCTTCAGAGCTGGGCGAGGTCCCTGGGTTTGAGGCAGCTTCAAGGAAAGTTTAAAAATAACCCTCACTCTGCCTTGTGCCTCCCTGAGGCTCATGTTCCAGTTGGGCACAGAGGGTAAGGAGAGACAGAGATGGTGGAGGAAGGAGGGAGCAGAATCCAGGCAGAATGGCCTTGGCTTCCACAAGAGTCAGACAAAACTGGGGTGGAAAAATTTATGCTGGCTGTGTGACTTTGTGTTAGTCACTTAATTTCTCTGGCCTCAATTTCCTTATATGAAAAATATAAGACATTTTTCATAGGTCATCCTTAGACCTTGGCCGGGAATTTATTATGAACATTCGATGCCTTGCTTTTCAAAAGTGCTAAATAAGGGACCTAGTTTGCTTAAGCTGTTAAGTGGGCAGAGGTGGGAAAGTTGAACTGGAGATGCAGAGAGAGAAAGTGATGGAGGAAACTAGAAGCCAGGCCTGGGGCATGGGGGTGAAACCAGAAATTGAGGGACCCTACTAACAAGGGCGCTGTAAATCAATAATGAATGTTGTTGAGTAACAGGAGGCATTTAGTGAGTCCTGAATATGTACTGGGCAGAAAGCTGAGCACCTGTGTAGATCAGTAGTTCTCAAAGCATGGTCCCCAACCTATACCAACAGCATTGCCTGGGAACTTGATATAAACACAGATTCTCAGGCCCCCACCCCAGACCTACAGAATCAGAAACTTTGGATGAGCCCAGCAACCTGTGTCTTACAAGCCCTCAAGGTAGTTCTGATGCTTGCTTAAGCTTGGGGAGCACTAGTCTAGACTGTCTCACTGAGGACTTAAGCGCCCCTCCAAGGAGGGACTAAGATTATTGTATTGACAGAAGAAGAAACTGAGGCACAGAGCAGTTAAATGACTTATCTAAGATCACGCAGCCAGAAAATGAGGCAGTCAGGTCTCCACCACCAAATTGGTGGGTATTATGGGGAGGGGACCCCTTTGCCCATCAGAGACATGCTGGAGGAGGCTGGAGGAGCTGCCCAGGCTAGGGACCCAGCCACCATGGCCCCTGTGAGTGACAGGAAGTGCATTCCAGAACCTGCTGGCAAAGCCAGCTGCTAGGCCCTTACCTGCAGACTGTCTGCCCCCTGCAGTGTCTGGAGCAGCCAGGAGTGGTTTCAGAGGCAGCGGAGCCGCCTTGCCCTGCGGTCACACTCCCCTACCCCAGGGTAGGGCCCTGCGGGAGCCTAGAGTTTCCAGTCCAGGGGAACTGTGATGGGGAACCAGGAAGATCCCAGAGAGGACAGAGACACCCAGCCTAGAGAGCTTGGATGAGGGGTGGCGGGGGAGAAGGGCTACGGAGCAGTTCAAACTCCAGAGAGTGGGCGCACGAGACACAGACACTCATACAAGCAGCCCCAGCCCTAGCGGGCTCTGGACTCCCTGAGCATCTTTCCACCTGGTGCCCCTGCTCCAGCTCCTAGAGGAGCTAGACACCCTACCCCCCTGGTTAGTGCCTCCCTAACCTTCCCATGCAGCCAGAGGCCCAGGGGCCTGGGGTGCTCCTGGTCTCCTTGGGGAGGGTCCTCTCACCTCTTGCTGTCTTTCCTGTTCATGCTTCCTTGTGGGGGCGGGGGTCTTGTAAGAGTCTGGCTCAGCTCCTCCCCTCTCACCAATGCTCCAGCTTCTCAGCCCCTTGGGAGCTGGGGCCTCCTCCGCACTTGGGAAGGAAAGAGGAACTGCCCCTCTGCACCCAGCCCCAGGCCAGGGGGAAGGAAGAGGCTGGGGAGAGACCGAAGGTCCCCTCCCCCCACTCGGGGATCCCTTCAGGCTGAGGTTTCCGGTGCTGCCGGCCCCCACCCCCCCCATCGCTCAGCGGGCTCTCTATCTCCCCATCTGTCTCTAGACCCGTGATTCTCTGTTCTGTCACTGTCACACTTCAATAAAAGCAGTTTCTTTTAAAGTATGCTTAATATGACACATTTATGTAAAAGCACACACACAAAAGAAAAGTCTATATTTCTATAAGGTTCATGTATATAACGCACAAAGGTTTGAAAGGAAAGTCACAAGACAATATTTTGTATATTTCTTCTTATGTTTCTTTTATCCCTAGTTTAGTTTTAATAGTACCATTTGTACCCAGAAAAACATTTTCACTTTGTTACTTTTATTGTGACAAACCCTTATGTAGCGTGTACTGTATACCACACACTGTTCTAAGAGCTTTTAAAATATTAACTCATTTAATCCTCACGCCGTCTTAAAGACTGTTATCTTATTGTGAAAACATTACAGATGGAGGTAAATGCTCTGGGGCCCCCCTCCCCATCTCGCTGTCCCTCTTAGGCTGGGGTGACCAATATCACATATTGTTGGCTTTCATCTAATCTGTTGGCTGTGCATCTGTTTAGGTACATAAATAGGTGCTCATAGTAACCCAGACTTTTCTTTTGAGTATGTGTGTTTTTTTCTTTTACCTAAATGTGTCATGCTTGACATACTTTTTAACTGGTGTACAAAAAAGAGCAGAAATCAGAAGTGTTCATGTTGATGGAGGGTGACACACTTACCGTATCCATGTGACATTTGCACAAATCAAGAAACAGAACATTCCCACCCCCCACAAGTCCCTTGAGCCCCTTCCCCACACTAGCTCCTAAAACTTACCACTAGCCTGACTGGGGGAGCAGAATGGTTTTGCCCGTTTTTGAGCTGTATCTAAATGGAATAGTTTAATGTCTGGCTTCTTTCATTCAATAGCACGTCTTTTGTGATTCCTCCATGTTATTATATTTGGTCGTCATTTATTTCTTTTCGCTGCTGTAGAGTCTTCCATCTTGTGCATATTCCACGATTTATCGACCCATTCTCCTGTGGTGGACGTTTGTGTTGTTTCCAGTTTGGGCCTATTGTGAACATTCTAGCACCTGTCTTTTGAGGAACATTAACGTGTGCAGTTCTGTAGGCCAGATCCCCAGGAGGGGAATAAATGGGTCATAGTCATTAGCATGATTCTGCCAAACCTAGTCTGTTAGTCAATTCAACCAAAGCTCTAAGTATATTTTTGCCCTTTCTTTTTCTCACTAAAAGAAGTCACCATGGATGTTTTTTTCACACCAGAACATTTAGACAAACACAGAGCCCATTCTCTTTAGCTCTTCCAGACCCTCTGTCTCCATCTCTTCCTCTTCTGCCTCCTTCCTGCCCACCCCCGCCCGTCTCAAGCGGGGCTCTCCATGACGTGCTGTCTGTCTGTCTCTCGGCCCACCTCCTCAGCACCTGCATCCCACGAGGTGATGTAACGCTCCTGGCTGAGCCAAGCTTGTGGTGTGAGAGTGTCTCCAGGCCGCTGGGACTCAGGTCAGAAAAGGCCCTGGCACTGATACATATGCATGCCGCTGTCAGGGCCCCCAGGGATGGTTAATACCAACAATAACACCGACAACCACAAAGGAAAAGGCTGCTGAATCAAACCACAAAAACTCATAAGGCGGAAAAAGGATGCATTTGGTAACACACAAATAAGGATTTGTGTGTGTGTGTGTGTGTGTGTGTGAGAGGAAGATTAGCCCTGAGCTAACATCTGTTGCCAATCCTCCTCTTTTTGCTGAGGAAGATTGGCCCTAGGCTAACATCTGTGCCCATCTTCCTCTACTTTATATGTGAGACGCCTGCCACAGCATGGCTTGACAAGCGGCGCGTAGGTCCACACCCAGGATCCAGGCCTGTGAACCCCAGGCCGCCGAACCAGAGCACGCAAACTTAACCACTATGCCACCAGGCCGGCCCCAGAACTTCTTTTAATGATGACACCATGGGACAAATATCAGATGACAGGGCAGGAAAAGGCATTTACAATGTCTAAAATCAATGAGAAATTAATATGTAGAATGTAAAAGGAACAGCTGCAAGTCAGCAAGAAAAAAAGACAGCAATTCTGAGAGAAAACTGGGCAAAGAGTATGAGCAGGTGACGACGAAACCCCAAACTCGGACAGACACCTGAGAAAATGCTAGAAATTATTGGTAACAGATCAGGAAAGTGCAAATTAGAACAACTGTGAGTCATCCTATTGGTCTGGCAAGAATTAGAAGTTGGAAAATCCAAGTGAAGATTGGGGATGGGGGGACCTAGGAACCCTCACGCACCGAGAGTGGGCAGCCATTCCCCAGGGCCACTGGGCACTTCTTAGTCAAACCAAGTATACGTGGAGCCCTCACCCAGCAATAGCTCCCCGCCGTGCATAGTGGAACATTCTCCCTCAGTTCCATACAAGGATGTTCGCTGCAATGTTAGTTTCAGAGAGCTGGGGGCAGCCTGGGTGGCCACCCCCAGGGGAGTAGGTGAATCAATAGAAGGGGACAGTCACCAGGGAATCCTGCAAAGCCCCCACAGCCACAGACCAGGTGTCCACAGAGCAACACGGGTAGTAGGTCTCAAAACACATAATGATGACTGTCACAAAAAAGAAACACTATTAATATCTTATGATGTAAGGCACAATGACACAGAACAATTTTAGGTTATATATAAAATTCTAAGGAAAAATGTAATATTTAATATACAAGTGTGTATTATATAATGTATAATATATAATTGTACTATATAATTATATTAGCCTAAATATATAATTATATAATTATGCATTATATAATTCAGTAATATGATACAAACTTAAATGCCGTATATTACAATTGTATCAATATATCAATATTAATGATGTAACACATAGCAACCTATTATACACTTAATAGCATTTTACGGATAATTTTATTGAACTGTAAGATACTGTTTTGTATAACTTAATAGATACCATTACATGTTAATAATAATAATAATGATGATGATGATGATAATAATAGATCTCTGTATCAATCAGTTACCATGTGGTCGGCTCTAATCAGTTTCCTCACAGAATCTTCCCCCAACCCGGGAGGTGGGGACTATTCCAGGTTAGCCCAGTTGACAGATGAGAAAACCGAGGCCCAGAGGCACGAAGCTGCCTGCCTGGCAGGAGGCCCAGGTGTGTGTGGGGCGTCCTGCGTTGGGCCTCCAGGCCCCACCGCTTCTTGTTTTAGGGAACTGCAGAGGCCCTCTGTGCCAAGCTCCCCAGAGCCCACGCCTCCTCCAGCCCTGGGCAGCCAGGAGTGGGAAGGAGCTGCTTACCTGTCTCAGGACTCTCCTATTTACAAAGCCCAGGGTACTCATCTGCATAAACCGGTGGCCCCGTTAGTGGCCCTCGGTGGCTCAGGTAGCCCTTGGAGAGAGGGAGGGTTAGAACTCTGGGGAGCAGGGCCTGGCCCTGGGGAAGTGAGTTTTTGTTATAATTGGGGGATTTTATGCAAATATGGAGACAGTAAAGGGGAATGGTTAAGAACCCTGGCTCTGGGTTCAAATCCCTGGCTCAGCCCTGTGTGACCTGGGGGAAGTTACTCCTCCTCTCTGTGCTCAGCTTGCCTCATCTGTAAAATGGGCACCACAGGAGTACTGACTTCACAAGATTGTTGTGAGAAATATATCATTTATTCCAGTTGTGTCCTTAAAACTATACAGGGGAAGGACTATACCTTTTTATTTCCTCCTCTAAACAATGTGGGTCATAGCAAGGTTATTGTGAGAACTAAATGAGAGGCAGCAAAAAGATCTTAGCTCAGGGCCTGAAATGCAGCAGGCACGAAAAAGACATCTGCTATGGCTATGATTCCTGCCTCATCAGTTTTTATAATAATGAGGATGCTGATGCTGATGTTCACAACACTCACATAACATTCACTATGCACTGGTACTGTATTAAGAGCTGTAAATAAATTATCTCGTTTCATCCTTGTAACAGCCCCGTGAGGTAGGTACTATTAATATCCTCCTTACCAGTTGGGGAAACTGAGGCACGGAGGGGCGAAGTGACTTGGCCGAGGTCACATGAGTGAGTGGCAAGGCTGGGATTCGGGTCCAGACTATCTCACTCAGAGTCTTTGCGTTTAATAACTTCTGAAGTCGGGAAACCTGGTGTGCATTCGGCTCTGCTGTAGGACATGAAGGAGAGGCTTCCCCGCTTACAGCCTCAGTTTTGCTCTCTGCGAAATGGGAGAACGATAGCACCCTCCTTACCACGGAGGTGGAGAGCAGGCAGCTACCTTCTAGACTCTCCTCCTACGCCGCCCCAGCCCCCCCGCGTGCCTCTGGCCACGGTCTAGGGCCTGTGGGCGGGGCTCCGGAGAAGGGGCGTGGCAGGCGTCGTCCTGGCCCAATGGGGGGCGGGGGGCGGGGCCATCCTCCCAGCTCTGTCCAGCACGCGCGTCCTCCTCGCAGTTCCATCTACCCCGCGGGTGCCTTCCGCGTCCCCAGAGGTCTCCGACCCCAGCCCGCCCCAGCCCGCCCGCCCACCCAGCCCGCGGCCCCCTCCTCCTATTCCCCGGCCTCAGCCCCGGCCCTTCGGGCCTCGACATCATGGGTGATGGAGGAGAGGGCGAGGATGAGGTCCAGTTTCTGCGGACGGTGAGTCTCTCTGCGTTGGGGCTGTCTCTCGGGACCCTCTGAGTGTCTCTCTGTCTCTGGATGTCTCTGTCCTGATTGCTGGTGGTCTGAGTCTCGGAGTCTCTTCCTCTGTCCCTTTGGGTGACTGTCACTCTTTCTTTCTCCGTTTTTATCTCTTAGTCTCCCCCACCTTTCTCACCACAGAGAATTAGCAGAATTGGGGGCCACAGATGGAGAGGGGGCTCTTCGGCCACCCTTTATTCTGACATTAGCGATTTGTCCTGG